CAAACAAGTCTATTAAATGTTTAAGGGGTTAATTTCCAATTTAACTATATTAATTATATCGGCTAACGACCTTAGGTAAAACGTATCATAAATTCACATAAGATACGATCTAACATGATGACCACCAATTATGAATATGATCACATCATATTTTATGAATAAAATAGCTTACATTAATAGTTATTATTTGAAAAAAATCTGTGAAATCGACAAATTGTAATACAGCATAATGGGGTCGTTACTTGTTGAGTGTTTATAATAAATTTCTTTATAGTAAGTGGATATCGTGTTGGGTAGGTACTGATGAATAATAATATTGCAAATATAAAATTATTTAAATTTATTAGATCCTATACTGTGATTAACGTATAATAGTAAAAAATATTCCGATTTGCTGCCAAATATAGTATAAGATAATATGCCTATAATGCCTTATAGTTAGTTTACTCGTCTACACGAATAATACATGGCTCATTATAATAAAATAATAATTTAGTCCTTATAAGTTATAATGTTATGCGTCTTAATGATCAACGCGAATTTCAATGTATAATGTTATCGCAGTGTCTTCGTTGTGTCATCTGTTTACAAAACTACAGTAATACAGTATAATCGGTATAATGTACACATCATATTATTTACCAAGTTATCGAAACACGTGTAGGATAATATTACATCGAACGTTAGGTAAATTAGATAAAAAAAAAATATAAAAAATTAATTTATAAACGTATGCGAAACCATGCGAATGTATAATTTGGTACAAGAAAACAGTATAAATATCGAAATGCAAACAAAAACAAAACAATGTATTTTATTAAAATATTACTTATCTACATACGACGTTCTATGGACGTGTATAAAATGAACACAGTGAAATTTCAACTGTGCTATGTCGACCATCGTGATGTATATCGGATAAGTACAATAAGGAATATCTAGTTTGACCTACATACTTATTTCATTTTCCATGAATGGGAAACAAGTACTGAATTTTTCAAAATAAACTACCATAAAATGCTACAAAGCAGTTGACAGTACAGGTTCAATAAATTGTAGCATTTTTTTTAGCACAATATTATTTATTACCCATTATACCGAAGAAAAAAAAAGGTAATAAGATAAATGTTATTGTTTAGGCGCTATATGGCTTGTTCCGGTGTGCCAGCATGTTAAGTCTAAACAAATCGCGAGCGAAAAAAATAATATTATCATCTATAATTGATTCTAAAAATTTAAATGATTGTCTAACTATATACTGCATTGAATAATGACGCTATACGACTCATAGCTACTGACTGTCATTATTTATTATCCACATTTTTTATGATATAAAAAAAATAAAACACAAATGAGAATAGTTGTTGTCGTGACTGGTAATATTACGTGCATGTGTATGCGATGATGTTATTTGTTACCGAATACTTCTTGAAACGTCTTTATTGATATTATATTTTACTTTAATTTTTTTTTTACTTCGTGATGATAGTAATTTTTTTGATTACTAATTACAAAACGGCTGTGATTAAATACGGCAGACGACAGTAACATGTATTTAATTCAGTGTTGTATTAGTATCTACCTTTCTACCCTTCTACCCACAGAATATTGTAAGATTATAAATTTTTTAACGAAACTCATGAATAATGACTAATCTATACAATATATATAGATATTAATATTAGACAGGTATACTATATGACGTAAGAGGGACTGAAACGTCTGAAACTTAAACATTCACTGAAGTTTAGTTCTATATTTAACTATTATAACATCCAATAAACATCTTCTGGTTTAATAACAAACCCATTCGAATATCATATCATAATAGGTATAGTTAATTTAAATATTTTTCAACGATCACAATTAAATGCCAATGTCAAATAAATTACATACTATTATTATAAATATATATTAATTAACAATAATAATATCGCATCTTATTTAACATATATATTTATATAAGTATAGATTGTTTAATTGTCTAACAAATAACAATCTCACCTTTCAAAAGTAAATATTAATTGGAACATTTTCACCAATAGATTATAATGTATGATTAAATTTTCTTGATTTAGGAAATGGTCATTTATAAATTGTAAAAACTATTTTAATGAATATATATCTACAATTTAAACTATAATTGTTGTTGGAAAATATTGTTTTTTTCAATAATATGGCGACACGGTTCTTAGCCAAACTTATAAAAGTGCATATAAAACCAAGCAAAAGTAGATTTATAATATAAACTCGTTTATCATAGGTATTTTATAAAGGATTTATGCAGTTTACTCGGCAGCAAATTAGATAGGCAATAGAAAGTTGAAAATGCCACAATAATATTCTGCATAATCCGAAACTTATATCAACTATTCAGGCTATAACTTTAACCCAGTTAAATGCAATAATTACATTTGAGTCAATACCGTATACTTTAAAAATCGACCATAGCAGGTTAGGTATTTATGATAATCGGTGGCTAAACGTTCACCTTCGAAACTAAACATCATCACTACACCGAAGATAACATATGTTACGCGAGGTTTACGTACGTAGTACGTACCTATTCAATATCGTTTCACGACGGCGACGATAATCGTGTTTTCCTATTCGCGTACTTACTACGTTTCGGCACAAATAGTATAATATCAAGGACGTATGTATCTGTATAATATACTGGGTGATTCTTTTAACAGTAAACACGCATTATAGGTATGTATCAAAAAGTATTAACGTTTTTGAAAATATTTTTTCCTCTAAATTTCAAATACTTGTTATAACGAATTGACTACAAATTCTAAGTTTAATTTGTATGTATCAAAATACTCCGAAAAACATTCTTCTTCGTAACCAGAAATTTAAAATGTAATCATGCTATCGTTCAAAAATGAAAAAAATTGATAATAATCAAAAAAAAATACTCTCTAAAGTATTCATACTTTAAATGATAAAGATAATTCACTATTAAAAGGATCGCCTATTGGTGTCGTAACGTTTGATATATGAAACTAGTGTTTTTGAATTATCTATGCATAATATATCAAGTATATTATAACTATAGTGTCGGCGTTTGGTAGGTACAATTAATACTGTGACGAGAGGAGTAATATCAAATAAACGGAGAAAGTATTACCTTGGAGTGACAACGTCACCTTGACAGTCGAAAATAATTATTTTATAAATTAAGGTATAATATAATAATATGGGTAGATAGTATAGGTATATCTTACACAAACTACCTACTGCACTCGCGTAGATGCATGTATGCAGGTATTATAATATTATGCAGTAAGAACACACTTCCGCCGGCCGGTTCCTAAGTAGTACTAATGCATTTTCGGCGTCCGTGTCGTGTTCGTTTCGATTTAGTCGTAAATTTAACCGCGTGACCGAGTCGGATGAGAAAAAAAACAAATCAACCAGATGACAATACCACATTATAACGCACGTCGTCCAACTCGTCCTGTACACGCACTGCACAGGGTTATAATATTATACCCGATGCTGCGCAATTCATACAAAAGATCGTGTGGGAGCTTTGTGCGAGTTTCTAAAAAGTGAAAACAATCGTACGACGATTTATCCATATACATATTATATGCGTACGTATTTATACATCGAAATCAGTTCCATTTTTGGAAACAGCGAGCAGAAAGTGCGATGGCGCGACTGCAACACTCAATAATTGCAGCAACGGATACCACCTGCTCCTATTTTATATCACTATAATATAGCAGTATATACGTGTTATTATACGTCTTACCGAATCTGTCCCGCGCGATCTTCATGTGCACACCAACAACAGAAATAATAATAAGCAATGATTTTTCGATAACAATAATATTCGAAACGGACGTTTAAAAAGAACAAGACGAACGTCTGTGTGGGTACGGTTAGGTATTCGGTCGCAACGTACCATAGTATATAGGTATATGCAGACAACAATATAATAATATTATTAGACCGGCACTGGCACCGGGCCTGGGCCGAAAATGTTCGGGGAAGAATTAGTATAAAATAAAAACCGACTGTCGATTTTTTTTCTAAAGAAATCGATTCGATTACGAGCGCCGCGGGCACACACAGGTACATTATATAGGTATACTGACGTACCGTATAATAATAATAAATAATAATGTACGGGCACGTTCCGCGGTACCTATATGTATTATTATACAAAATGCGCACAATGATATCGCGTTTTATGTGGGTACGACGACGGGGCTGTGTTCGACCCAGAGGGTAGAAAAAAAAATATAAAACACGAAATGTGCGGAGGTGAATGGGGATGTGCCCGGTGGTGTGGAAGGGGGGGGGGGGTGTTAGGAATCAGAGCGAGACTCGTAGCGGCCCGCGCGTTTCCAGGAAAGCGTGGCGATGAAATATTATTACCGCGAGACGACGACGGCGGCAGTCCCGCCGGCCCGTCGTCGCCGCGGTGCCAACCACACACGAATCCCACGCGCGGAGACACCTACCCGCGGGTACTCGCACGTCGTTTTATTCAGATATCCTGTTGCGCGTACCTAACAGATATTAATATTAATATTATTATTATTATTATTATTGAACCGTAGCTGCAGCAGTAGGTAAGTATAACGGCGACGGTCTGCGACACCACGATTTATGTAACACCGGTTTTGCCTACACCATCCGGTCGCGGTCGTCGTCCGCGCAACGCCGACGGAAATTTCACACCGATAACAATATAATAATAATAATAACACGACTTTAAGCTTTTACACGATCGCATAAATCATAATGTCTGCTCTACACAATATTAATATTATCATAATACCCGCGGAGACTGTTATTCTTAACCACGATTCGCAATGGTACCTTTGACGGTTTTGCGTTGGTGGGCTACATATGCGGTGGGTTGAGGGCAGACCGGACCGGCGATCCGAACTTTTACTCAGCGCCGGTCAAAATCGATTTGTCATCTGTACCCGCCACCGGCCCTCTGCCCCACGAATATTATAATTGATTTCCGAACTCACCTGTGATCATGGCGTTCCGATTTCGCGCCGAGTACATGGTGGTGGCGGCGGCGGCCGCGACGGTGGATTCGGCGGGTCACGTCGTCGTCTGTCCGGAGATTTCCATGGTCTTTCGACGACAGATGGTCCGGCGGCGGCGGAGTTACACGCACTCGGCGGCCCTGCGGACGGCGTGGTAAACCTCTCGACCGAGACTCTCGCGAAACACGGCGGGAACCGGGAAAATTTTTTGGAAAATTGCGAGCACCCGCGGCGAGGGGGTGTGGAGGGAAAATTCGTTTTTACGAGACGCGAGGAGCAGCGCGCACGACGACCGGCGAAACAGGTACCGACCGCGGTGGACCGGCGAACGGTTGTGGCGGCGGGGAAACCGCTTTGCCGGACCGATTCCGCCGCGGCCGTTCGTCTTTGGCGGTCGTGCCGCGGATAGTGGTGGGGTACTGCGGCGGCGGCGTGCGGTACAACAACATTGCCGCCGATGCCGTCTCGAGTCCTCTTCTCCGTTCTAAATCATCGACACGAGCACGCCGCGGGGTTTAATCCCCCCAAATTCTGCCCAGTGGTGCCTATGCGGAATACCTGTTGTGTCTAAGAGAATAAAATGTATTATAATAATATTATGATTGAAATGTTTTTATTAATTTATTACCGTCGAATAAAATACTCACCACCTCGAAAAATCACACACACACACATAGTATTATGTGCATGCATGTACATCACATAACGTATTTATGTGTTTAATATTTGTATAATCTGTTTGACTATAGTAAAATGTTTATATAGTACATAAAATATTAAAATACATGTTATATGGCCTACGGGTTATGTGAGGGCCGAATAAAACATTTTGGTATTCTTGTCATGATGTGCTGTCTACCACATATTTTTATATTTAAGAATAATAATATGTATAAAGATTGTATAATATTATCCAGTAAAACATCATTCAATAATACCTACACAGAGTTTAAATCTCACAACTTTACCTAACTGTGTAATTCTAAATAAGTACATACAAAATTTCGTATTTATAATTTTTTTACATTTTAGATTTCGGGAGGAGCGATGAATGATTTTACAATAATGATGTGTATTTTATTATTTTTTTATTTTTGTGTCTTTCATCACGGTTTGGATTGCTAGTGCTTCGAATTTCTTCAACAGCAACTTCTCTGGTGAATCTAGTTAGTGCATTCGGGAGGTGAAAATCTAAAATTCCCAAGAGTTTTCAAAAACGACAGGAAAAACAAACAAAAATTTAAGGAAAACGGTAACATTTACTACAAACTAGTTTTCGAAAAAATCGATTTTGGTTTTTAGTGAAACTCTAAAAATGACCGAAAATATATGAAATTTTCATTGAATGTTTGAGTTAAGATTTTCTATACACCATATAAATTTTCAAAATATTTTGACTCGTATTGCACTATTTAGGAATATGAAATTTTCGATTATTGTTTGTTTTTTTTTACTTATGTCAATAAAAATTTTTTTGTTAAGTCCAAAATTTTGAAAATGCAGTACAAGGTTCCTCGTAAGTTGTTGTAAGTGGAAATTAAAAACAAATTGAGCGTAAATACTCAATACATTTTAATGAGCATTTAAATTTAGAATTTTGACAAAAGTCGTAAAAATCATAAAAACTTGCAAATTATTTTTAACTATAAATTCATACGTTTTTTTTTTATATCTAATATTTAAAAATTTAATACAAGATTCTTTTTAATTTTGTCTACCTTAAACAAAAAAAATTTTTTACCAGAACGTAGTATTAATTTTTGATGAGCGTTTGAAGTTGAAGTTTTTATAACATTGGATATTCACTCGTTTCTATAGCATATTATAGTGATTTTCTTATTTTGTTGTAATTCAAAAACGAATATGTGTAGACACTTGAAATTTACACCATATATGTTAATTATATCAATTCATAAGCTTGATAAATTTTCAAAATATTTCAGCTCGTTTTAAGCTATAGATATTTTAAATTTTTTTAGTTTTTTTTTTTATAAATGTCAATAACATTTCATAAGTTGGGTCAAAAATCATGAAAATTTTATTCAAATTTCTTGCTATTTTGTTACAACAGCAGTTGAAAAATATTAAAAATACATAAGTGAGAATTTTTTTATAACCATTTAAAGTTCAAATTTTGACAACATAATATATCAAAGTGAAAATCGAAAATGATTTTGTAGTTAAAAATTTATAAAATGTTCAATTTCTATAGCTAAGGAATTAAAATTTAAAACAAGGTTCCATGTAAGCAGTTTTTTCCGTAACCAAAAAATTTAAAAAATATATATAAATATAGTTATGTTTTATAGACATTTTAAGTTCAAATTTGGACAAAATCACATACTAACACAAATAATAACTATTTGTCATTTAATTGTAATTTAGTCCAAAACATCCCAATTTTACATAAGTATATTTAATGATTTTCCACTATCACTGATAATTTAAGAATAATATTATGAATAATATTAATTCAACTTCCCGACTACCGTATTAATAATAAGTAGGGCTCGGATTTTAAAGCAAATGCTTCTATTTATATATTTAAGATAGAAATCTAATTTTTATACATAAATTCATTTCACGTTAATCTGATTCGAAATAAACGAATTTATTTTTGCTTTTTTTTGCTTTTTTTAGTATAAATGCTTTTTTTGCTTTTTTATTGCTTTTTTCAGTTATTCAAGCTGTGGAATTTTTATTTGTTGTTATGCTATGAAAATAAAATAAAAGTGTAAAGTAAAAGTTAAATGAAGCTCATGGAGATATTGCAACTGCTATTTCTGGTAAACAAAATCGTGTTCTTTTGAAAAACAAAGGCTGGAAACAATTACTGGACATCAATACTATACTGTGTGGCGTTTCATCAGATGAAATTAATTATCATGGGTTTGATTTAAACGAAACCTCTTGCATGAAGTATGCACCGATCACTTCAGTGGATGTAGAGCGTTCGTTTTCGATATATAAAAACACCCTGTCTGACAAGAGAGTCAGTTTCACTACTGAAAATCTTACCAAATACATGGTAGTAAATTCTTTTTTTAATTTAAATTAATTTTTCAATTTTTTTTCATTCAGTTTTATAAAATTATAACTAATTCGTGTTAATTTTTAGTCGTGCTTTTTTTTTGCTTTTTTTAAAAATAAATATGCTTCATTTTTGCTTTTTTTAAACAATTTTATGCTTTTTTTGTTATTTATTATGCTTTAAAATCCGAGCCCTAATAATAAGTAATAACAATATATAAAATATCCCTCACTAACATACTGTCTCCGATCAGAATCGTTTTTCGTATACAATGATATTATATTATTGAACTCAAATTTAATATCATCCATTACAGTGACCTTCTAGACACTACCTAACGTACAGCAGAGCGACGTCCACTTACCCTCTTTTTAACATCACGTACACAAAAAATATTTAAATATTATAATACTATTCATAAAAAATAAATACCAATAAGTTTTTATCATAAGAAAAATGTCTTCAAAATTATTATTATTATTATTGAGGTACATTAAATAAAAAATATATATATGTTAGCAATTAGGTAAATGTACCTATTACAAAATATGATTTTAAGTCTCTTAGAAAACATTAAAATGGATCTCGTGTATTATTTTTCAGAATCCACCATCGTTTTGCTAAATATGACGGTAGCAAAGATGGTGATGTACCATCCATTTTCTCAACATGGGTACGAAGCTTTAGAGCTCCCTATATAAACTTTTTATGCGATATAACATTTTTTTGGAGAGCCACAGCCCACACTGGTATCATATTGTTAAAATAGAACTAATAGAAGTGAACTTTGATTAGGAAAAAGTTCAATCGTCGTTGCCGTCTAGTTGTATAATTAATTACTCTATAAAAATCATTTGATTTAAATAAAACATGATAATAGGTAATTTTTATACTTTGATATTGCCAAACATACCGGACATTAACGACATGCAAGTTATAAACTGAACTTGGCTTTAACTTATAAGCCATGTTATTGAAATGGTAAGTGACAATGGTTTGAATCAAATCTCAATCGAATTAAATCAGGACTTGAAACCGAAAATATTTTTTCCTATTTCGATTTCAGTTTTGGTTATCGGTATTTTTTTTTCGATTTCACTTTCAGTTTTGATATCGATTTCGTTTTTAAAGGTTCTAACCTAAGTTCAAAATAAAGCCCTGATTTAAATACTTTTTACACTTAAAATACAGTATTTTTTTAAATTTGAATTTAAATTCTAATTTATTTTGGTTAATTTGGTTTTAAAATATACGACAACATAGTGACGACAGCCGATAGCAGCCGCCAGCTGCATAATACCACTATCCGCCACTCCGCCAGGCGAAATCATCAAATATTATGCAAAACAATAAATTGAATTTAACTGATCTATTAAAAAAAAACTTTAGTCTTATATAATATATTATGTAATACTATTAAACGTGTACACTTGGTGACTTTTTAATTCATTTAATTCGTGTGGTTGAAATAAATTATTCATTAACCTATAATATGTACATTTGTACATACAACGTATATCTATGTACATACAACCTACCATATTATGTTCGTAAATAGTTACAAACGGAAGAATGATATTATAATATTATATAATGTCCCGCGGCGTACCTACATTACAATATTATGATTACTATAGTGTAGGAATGTACACATGCACACAATAACGTCTCACACCTCTATCGTCTTTTGTTTTCCTGTTTAGCAAACACCGCGCTGGATCGTTAATTGTTGTTAATGGTGTCTTATATGGTTTCTCGGAAAAACTTCACAGACCACCATCCGCCGCCGCGCTTCACGCCCATATAGGAGACGGTGGAATATGATGAGGCAAATAATACTCTACGAATGCTGAAGACGATTTAAAACTCTTCCGAAGACCATTAACACCTCCTATATTATGCGTCATTACATTGAGCTTGTTATTGTCGAGTAACCGAATGACTCAAAGCAGCTTAACTATTTTAAGTAAATAAAACTCGAAACAGTACAAACTGAAACCTAGGCACGACCTGCACTACTAATTGGTACAATAATTTAGTCACTTTGATGTAGAACTTGTGACCGAGAGGCGGAGGCACGTGGTGGTCGAGCGTACCACCGATATATCAGCCTATATATATATAGGTGATTAATAATAATAGCCTATACATATTATATTGATTAAAAATAATTATTAACGAAAACGACTAGTGTTCCTTTCATTTGTTTTTACTCATACCAAACAGATTGTGCCCAGTGCTGTTTCCTTTTCCAAACTTCAACCTGTGTGGGCCACTATATATGTATACCTACGCCTAAATATTTACTCGTATAGGT